CAAAACAGTTATTCTGAAACAATACCAAACATTATAACTTGTACTGGGTATTGCTTCATGTTATTGGGCGTGTAGAGGTTAAAGCAAAATGGACCAACTGTACACAATAGCTTTTGGTTGGCTGCTTGGTACTCATGATGTGCTATTTCTTTGCTTCCACCACATATACCTGGGCGAGCCAGAGACTCACACATTATCTGATAACCTTGACTTCAGGGCTGATGTACTTAACTGGTAAAGTGAAGCTGGAGCAGGACAGGATAGCAGATGTTAGTTGTTTATTCCACTGGGTAGGTCTCACCACCCTATAGAGCAGCCAAAATGCTGCTCATTTAGCAACAGAAATGTTAAGTCCAATTAGCAGACAAGGCTTGTTAGGGATTTAGTTCAAATAAATAGCCTGTAAACAAACTCACCGACTCTTAAGCACTTGATTGATAGTTAAAAAGCCCTGTTTGTAGTATTGAGATAGATCCACACTCGACTCCTTACATTTGAATATTTTATAATAAACATTTTACTAAATGACATACTGGAAATGTTTTTATGAAAGAGTTAGCTCTTCTCATTCACTAATCTGTAGTCAGCAGGATGCCACCAAGGTATAATGGCCTAACAACTCAGAGCTCCTTCAAAGGAGCTGCTACTATTTTATTATTCCAAAGCAGCTTATAATATGGTAGTGTAACATAAGGGACAATTAGACAAAATGGAACTGAAATGCCTCAGTGGGGGAAAAAAAAATCTCTCGTTGTTAAGAATTATAATAAGAAACAGCAAAAGATATGAAGTGTATAGTTATATAAACAAGATACATAATATAAGTTGTATTTCAGCACAACTTCTTAAAACTTTAGCAAGAAATCATAACTGCATTGTACTTGCCCATACATGTACATGTAACTAAACACATATATTTCAGATAACAGAAGACTGTTGTTGGGTTCTGACTCAGAGACCCTCCGCACCACAGATTAAACACTGCCCGGCCCTGCGCCTTCATCACAATTGTTACTATGTTTGATCCCACTGTTGCTGCCACTGTGTCAGCATGTCTTGTTGGAGGTCCTTTTTTTCAAGGATCCTCCACTTTGCCTAGAATCATGAGCTTCCACAAGGAGTCATCCCTCCTTTGGATAAAGTGTCCAAAGTGCAAAACAAAGTCTCATCTCACCATCCTGGTTTCTAAGGAGCATTCTGGCTGTACTTCTTCCAACACAGATTTGTTTGTTCCTCTCTAAGTCCATGGTACTTTCAAATATTATTCTCCAACACCATAACTCAAATTAATCCATTTATTTACCGTCTTTCTTTATTCATTGTCCAACTTCCACATGCACATGAGACTACTGAAAATACCATGACTTCAGTCAGGTCCACCTTAGTCCTCAAGCTGATACCTTTACTCTTGGACACTTTAAAGTGGTATTGCGCAACAGATTTGCCAATGCAATGAGTCATTTGATTCTGTGACTGCTGCTTCCATGATGAGTGTTGATAGTGGTTCCAAGCAAAATGAAATATTTGGTAATTTCAGTCTTTTCTCCATGGATCAAGATGAAGATTTTTGTTTTCTTTACATTGAGGTGC